CTCCTTCGGAGGCTGGGCCCTGACTGAGCTCCCTGGCAGCCTTCTTATAGCCCTAGCCCTGCCCTTTGACTTCCGGTCAGGTGAGGGAGCGGGGCTAGGCTGGGCCCAAAATGGCTCCCGGAGGGGTTCCTCCACCTCCGGCTCAGTGGGGGGCCACTCTACCCCACTTCAGTGAGCCAGTGGACGCCACCCATTGGAACTCTGGCCAGATACTTGAACGGATACAGGAACGGAAATAGGCCTCACAGTCGCAGGCCCCTCCTCTGGCCAACCTCTGTTCTTTGGTTTTATAGATTGCCAATTTGGCAATAGACAGGAGGAGGTTGACCAGGAGGTCCCGCGACTTTCTGGGGTCACGGATGGGGTGTGCATAAATTAACAGGTGGGGGGAAAAGTGCAGCCAGAACCTCAACAGGAGATTCTGGAGGAGCTGAACGAGGGGCTGTAACCTGGCGCACTCAAGGTAGACATGCGCCAGGGTCTCCCTCACAGAAGGGGCAGGTATCGGGAATGGGGGTGAACTGTGCCAAGTACACGCCAGTGCTCACTGCACCATGCAGGATTCTCCAGCTGATGTCCCCAGTGGGCTGTGGAACCAAGGCTAGTCCATCGGGGCTCCCCACCTACCCTCTATTGGTGGTAAGAGGTCCCACCACTTGGTGTCTGGGCGGGACACGAAGGTGGGGAAGTGGAGTGTGTGAAGCACACGTGTGTATAGGTGACTCTTTGGCGCAGTTCGGAAGGGGACTGGCTACAATGCGTGCAGCCGGCTTGGGTGACGAGGGGGAGGCGGTTGGGAAGGTATGGGGGGCTGGCAGCCTAGAGAGGTCTCACGGAAGACCTCTTAAATAAAAGAGCTGCCGGTCATATTGGAGCCCTCAGAGGTTGAGAAGGAAAGCCTGCGCAAGCGTGCTCCCCACTGGACTACCTGCATCAAATAGGAGGGTCTGCAGGGCTGGGAGGTGGAGGACATGAACCTAGCTGCACAAACACATCAGGCCCTGCCTTCCCTCCTCCAGGGAGAGATGGAGAACCCCTGCAGAGATCCAATGTAGTCCTGGCCAGAAGAACCGCAGCATCAGCTGCTGGATACGAGCCAGAAAACCCAGGGGTGGGGACCAGGGTGTTGAGACGGTTCCAGAGCATGGACAGGACCAATTAGTTAAGCACCAGTGCTCTCCCACTCAGGGAGAGACACCAGAGCAGTTCCATCCATCTCTGCAACCACTCAACTACCCTGGACTCTAAACCTTGCCAGTTCTCTGACAGAAAGGGATGCATGGCAGAGAGAAAAACGCTGAGATAGAGCAGCAGACCCACACTCCACCTGATGGCCTGAAGCGTGGGTGGGAGGGAGCCCACCTGCCACCCGGCCCCTACCACCAAGCCAGAGCTCTTGACCCAGTTGACCCGGGCAGAGGAGGCCGTTGAGTAGACAGCTTGCTAAGCCTCCACCCATGCCAGGTCGCCCGGGTCCTGGACCACGAGGAGCATGTTGTCGGCATATGTCGACAGGACCAGCTGCATCTCCAGCTCATGGAGCACCAAACCTGTCAACCTCTTGTGAAGGAGACAGAGGAAGGGCTTGATGGCCAGAGCGTACTGCTGGCCTGACAGCATACAGCCTTGACGTACTCACCTCCCGAAGCTAACCGATGTGGTCAGGGTCCAGTTGAGCATGACCAAGCACTCTGCAGAAGCTTACAGCACCTGGAGAAACCCCACAAAATGGGGCCCGAAGCCGAAGGCCCGCAGGATACCCAGGAGGTACCCATGGTCCAGCCGGTCGAATGCCTTTTCCTGATCCAAGGACAGGAGGGCGAATGATGGACAGTCCCTACACCCAAGCTCTAAGAGATCCCGGATCAGAAAGAGGTTGTCGAAGAGGGTTTGTCCTGGGACGGTGTACGTCTGGTCTGGATGGACCACGAATACCAGTACGGACTTCAGTCTTAGGGAGATGGCTTTGGCAACGATTTTATAATCCGTGCTGAGGAGCGAGATGGGATGCCAATTCCTCAGATCGCGGAGGTCCCCCTTCTTAGGCAGCAAGGTGAGCATGGCTCTCCTGCATAAAGGAAGGACCCCGCTCTCCAAGGACTTGACCCAGACACATGAATCTTGTTGCAAGGCAGGAAAGGTGGGTTTCCCAGGAAACCTCTGGGAGGTGAAGTTTTATTTATTAAAAGGCAAATTGGGCCCATCCACACCTTACATTTCCAAAGAGCCAGGCAAAGGCAAAGCTCTGGAAATGGAAGCTTGATGGTGTAAAGAGAACTCAAGGGATGTGGGGATGCTACATTTAATATGCAAACTAGAGCAGGTTCATTGCTGCCACCTCTGGGATGAAATGTGCAGCTATTTCACACAGCACTGCCCAAAGGCTTCCACAGGGGAAGGGGAAACTACCCTTTTCAGGGTACAAACCACCACCATAATGGGTACAATGTGCTTTACAGACATGTGCCCTGTCCTACCCTTGGGAGTTTATGATTTGACTCAGACATCGAGGAAATACAAAACTAGAGGGAGGCTATCCAGTGAAATGGATGTGAAGGACACGGGCCCCATCTATAGGAGAATGCAATTGTTTCTGCTTCTGCAAACACCTTTATTTGATCTATTTTTCAGAATGTGTTACTATGCTTGTCCAGAATGCTCTCTGTGCTCTGGGAGCGAAAGGAGCCAGGATGCAATCTCTGGCATTAGAATTCAGCTGGAACATCGACAGGATGGGAATTGGTTGGTTGCAGCGCAGAATGGGTGCCTGAGGAGGGGCAGCACTGAGTGAACCTTAGGCAAAGGCCGCTCCCGGGGGCACACCCGGGACAAGACAATTTCAGCCTAGGAGGGCTGAAATTGGGTGCAAAGGCACAGTGCATTCAGCATTAGGGTTGCCAAGTGTCCAGTTTTTGATTGGACTATCCAGTCAAAAGGGACTCTGATGGCTCCAGTCAGTACAGCTGAGTGGGCTGCTAAAAAATCTAGTAGGTTGCAGCCTCTAGCTCTGCATGGCTCCTGGAAGCAGTAGGTATTTCCTCCAGCTCCTAGGCACAGGGGCAGCCGTGGGGTCTCCATACAATGCGGCAGGTCCTCCTGGGGCAATGCTTGTAGACGAGGACAGTGCACAAAGCCCCATGGCTGGCCCTGTGCCTAGGAGCAGAAGGAAGCTGCCACTTCCCAGTAGCCACCTGAGGTAAATGCTGCCTGGAGCCTGCACCCCATCCCTTCTCCCACACCTCAGTCTCCTACCCCAGCCTGCAGCCCACTCTCAAACACCGACCTTCCCTTGGCCCCATTCTCAAGCCCTGCCCCAAAACCCATATCCCTAGCTGGAGTCTTCATCCTCTCCCGCACCCCAGTCCCTCTGCCTCACCTCAGAAAAATGAGGAAAGCAATGGAAGGAAGGGGGATGGAATGAGCCAGGGCCTGACAGGCCTGCCAAAAGCAATTCTGGCCCCACCATACAACAATTAATGGATCCCTCCTCCACATAAGCCACGCCCCCGCAGATGCAATCCACCTGGCATTTGTTTGAGGGGTCCAGGCTTTGGGAGAGAGCTTGGGTGTGAGGTACAGGCCCTGTACTTGGGCAGGAGGGTGAAGGCTCTGGGAGGGGTCAGGGACTCTCGAAAGTAGCATACTCCTCTAGTCACGGCTCCCAGGCACGTGGCCAGGAGGTCTCTAGGGGTATGTCTACACTACCACCCTAGTTCGAACTAGGGTGGTTAATGTAGTCATACGAACTTGCAAATGAAGCCCGGGATTTGAATTTCCCGGGCTTCATTTGCATGTTGCCAGACGACGCCACTTTTAAATGTCCGCTAGTGCGGACTCCGTGCCCGCGGCTACACGCGGCACGAACTAGATAGTTCGGAATAGGAAGCCTAGTCCGAACTATGTGTACTCCTCGTGGAACAAGTTCGTATGACTACATTAACCACCCTAGTTCGAACTAGGGTGGTAGTGTAGACATACCCCTAGAGACCTCCTGGCCACGTGCCTGGGAGCCGTGACTAGAGGAGTATGCTACTTTCGAGAGTCCCTGACCCCTCCCAGAGCCTTCACCCTCCTGCCCAAGTACAGGGCCTGTACCTCACACCCAAGCTCTCTCCCAAAGCCTGGACCCCTCAAACAAGCCTGCAGGCACAACCCCACAACTTCCGTGGCCACAGAACCCAGCCAATAGGAGAGCTACAGAGTTGGCACACAGAGGTACCCCTCTGCAGGGGCCTCAGGGACCGTGCTGGACACATCCAGGAGTGGCATAGAGCAAGGGCAGGCTGGGAGCCTGCCTTTGCTTTGCTGCACTGCAAGTGGTGTCTGGGGGTTTCTGGGCCCTTTTAGATTACCTGTGCCCAGATATTCTCCCTCTGATATTGTCTTGATACTGTACTATTGAGACTGTCCTGATATTATGGGCTTTGTCTTTATACAAAACTATATTACCTCCCTTTCCCTGAAATAAAATAAAATAAATCTCCCTCTGTCAGCGGCCCTAGGGCCTCAGAGATGGGGTGGGGCAAGGGTATTTGGATTTCTGCCATCAGAAAGTTAACAATCCAGCCTGGTTGGTATTCAGGAGCAGGCAGGCATTGCTTGGGGAGCTGGAGGCAGGTGTATGCAGGGGACGATAGGTGTTAAGTGGGAACTCAAGGCATCCAAAGAAGCATGTAAGGGAAGGCACAGTGCTCCCAGGACAGAGCTCGTGCAGCCTGGCCTCAGTGCAGTGCATACAGGGTTTCTGACCTCCCTTCAGGGACAGACCCAGGAATTACTTATCCCAGATGATCTCCTCCATATGCCCCCCTTGGGGGGAGGGGCTGTCAGGGGAAGGACCAACTACTAGAGGGTTTGAAGGTTTAGCTGGGGTGCATGGGAACTGACACCAACATTGTTATTTGTATGAAGGAGGGATTCCCTGGAAGCAACTTCCTTGCTGAACCCTCCTTCCTCCCCTTGCAGAAATCAGACACCAGAACTCCTAATCACTCCCCTTTTCAGGAAAAGCTTCTTTGCTCTTTCTCTGCAAGGAAGCCTCTCTCTCTCTCTCTCTCTCTCTCTCTCTCTATTAGTTTCCCTCGGCCATGCACCTTTACAGTTTTCTTTCTAGCTAGGAGTTGTTGAATACACTCTGTTGATTTCCCCCAGCTAAAACATGCCATGTGTGCAGAGAAACTGGATTGCAAACTTTTTCTTTTGGGTCCAGTTCCTTCACATGCAAGTGCTCTGCTATGGTAGAAATCCTCCACCGGGCAGATTTTTCTTTCCAGACAAGAGGCAAGGTCAGTGGCTTCTCTCATTTTCATTATAGTTATGTTAAATAGATGCAGATTCGGCATCCTTTCTCTTTCCACTTCGGATCTAAATAAACCAGGGTGACCAAGATCTAAGTAAATATTTTCAGTTTATTCTTTTGTATGAAGTGTCTCCACGTCTGTATTTGCACAATGTTTCACTTACAATAGTAACTTCCAGGCAGCTTTGTGACTGATTTACTTTTCCTGGATCAGAGTTGCTGAATCTCACACTAAAGATTGCAAACATTAACAGTGCTATGCTAGATACTCCCTTCCTCTCTGCTGCAATGTCTCTGTGAGTTCATCTCTTTTGGAGTTTCAACGTACAGCTCTGCACTTGCAACGCTCCTGTGGCATACTACTTGATTTTAAAGTTGATGTCAAGAAAGCATAGTACAGGCAACTCAGACTGTCATGTTGTTACCTTCTGGAAGCAATCAGGCTAAATTTCAGTTGAAAATTTCATTGCTGAACTCTGTTTTCATTAGGAACACCCACCGCATTTTTAATTGCAAAATGTAGGAAGTTCGGGTCTTGAAAATAGACTATTTCTTTTTCATAGCAACTCTGAAATACTATGTTGTGATGCAGCAACACAAATGACATAAGGGTCAATGACATCTGGAGCTCAGATCTCATCTTCTTGGATACAAAATGAATTGGAGTTATTCATTTCAGTGGGGGAGGGAATTAAGACACCGAGGGACCTGAAAAGTGCAGAAGAAAAATTCATTTTCTGCAAAATCCCTTTTGGTCTAATCCGGACCCTTCATCCTCACAGTTAAAGAAGGAAAAAAATCACCTGGTTTGGGGGCTCAGGTAGGGAGATATTGTCTTGATACTGTACTATTGAGACTGTCCTGATATTATGGGCTTTGTCTTTATACAAAACTATCTTACCTCCCTTTCCCTGAAAAAAAAAGTATCTTGATTTTTCATACTTGCTATCTGGCCACCCTAATTTTAAATTAAAATTTAAATTGGTTATATAGTTAAATAAGCTCTGCAGCTCCATGCCCTGCAGGCTACTGGCCCCGTAGGCTCCTGGCTGCACCGGCCTCCAGCTCTTGCAGATTTCAGGCTTCAATATCTCCTGGCTCCATTGGCCTCCAGCCCCTGCAGGCTCATAGCTCCACCAGCTTCCAGCCTACGTGAGCCCCCAGACTCACCAGCGTCCAGCCCTTGTGGGGTCCTAGAAATGGATGTAGAATTAATTTCTCTTTCTGTGCATTGCAGGCTCAAGGGCTCATCAGGAGCCTAAAAATTAGAAACTAGGACTTCAGCCTATCTTCCCGTTAGTTACTAGGCTGGTTCCTTGTCCTAGGAAAGGCAGCAAGATTTTATTTGTTTAGTGTCTCAATGCAATTTCCATATGAAATGTTGCTGCAATCAGAAGAAAAGATGGGCTTCAGAAATGAACCAACCCTGCATTCTCATCCAGCTGAAATGGCTTTGAATGTTCTATTCAGTGAGGCTGTGTCTAGACTGGCCAGTTTTTCCAGAAAATCAGCCGCTTTTCTGGAAAAACTTGCCAGCTGTCTACACTGGCCGCTTGAATTTCCGCAAAAGCACTGACTTCCTACTGTAAGAAATCAGTGCTTCTTGCAGAAATATTATTCTGCTCCTGTTCAGGCAAAAGTCCATTTTGCGCAAAGCTTTTGCACAAAAGGGCCAGTGTAGACAGCTCAGATTTGTTTTCCACAAAAAAGCCCCGATCGCGAAAATGGCAATCGGGGCTTTTTTTCAGAAAAGTGCATCTAGATTGGCACGGACGTTTTTCCGCAAAAAGTGCTTTTGCAGAAAAGCGTCAGTGCCAATCTAGACACTCTGTTCCGAAAATGCTTTTAACGGAAAACTTTTCCGTTAAAAGCATTTCCGGAAAATCATGCCAATCTAGACGCAGCCTGAGTGTCTGATCAGCAAATGGCTTAATAGGCATGTGACACTGACACATGGTAAATTCTGAACATGTATTTAAGTTAATATGCTCTTTGGGGAATCTTCGGATCCTGGAGATTCCCCCAAATACATCCAGAGCCAATGTCTTTCTTTGGCCCAGAAGAGGTGCTTTCAGAGGCTGAGAATTGCAACCCATATGCTAACCAGAGGGGTCATTTGAAAGGAGGTCCATTAGTCGAGGAGTCAGTAGAGGGAACTTGACTCCAAGATGCAACAATGGCAGATGACAAGTGTCTCTTATTTTGAAGGAATACCATTTACTTAGAAAAGTATTTGTATTTTTGTCTGAGAGTCTTTAACCATCTGTTACTGTAAATGCCACCACTCAGAGATGAAAGAGACTGTTAGAGAAAAAAATTATGTTTCTCCTTGCTTTGGTTTGTTTACTGTGTTCAGTAGACAGCAGTTTATGTTGGTTATTTCTCTGTGAGAAATACTCTTTTTTGTCTGAGTGGCTTTGAATCCTCACAGGAATAGAATAGACAAAAACATTTTTTTTTAAAAAAGGCAATGGAGTTGTAAAACCACAAAGTTGGCAAGGAGGTGGATCTGGAGATGCAGTGGCTCCAGTTACTTTAAATTGTTTTGTTAATTTGTGTATGTGCTCCTCATGGGTTTTATAATTTGGTCATGTCCCCTGTCAGTTTTGCAAAGAGAAAGGAGTTCACAGATGCAGTGCCTCCAGAACATACATTCACCACAGTGCAGTGGTTAAAAAGGGATCCAGGCACCCTCAGAATCCCAGATGCATAAAGCTACTTCTGGCCTTCCTCTCTTGGCCTACATGACCTGAGCTATGACATTTGATAGGGCCATCTTAGAATCAGAGTCAGGAACTTTCTCTGAAGGGAGGGAGGAGGGGAAGGCTGAGGAGAAGTTTGAAAGTTACTTGGAGAGGCTCCATGATAGCACAAGGGACTGAAGATCCTGAGTGCTATTAGTGAGGACTTCAGGGCAAAATGCCAAACCAGAGCTCAAAAGAAGACCTCAAAAAAAGAGACCCTCACCAAGAATAGCTTATCTAGCCCTCCTCAATATAAGGATATAAAATCCTCTTTAATCAGTTAGTCGGTTATGTAACCCCTTCAATGGGATCCCATAGGCAGGGTACTGCTCCAGCCCAGCTGGGCCATCAGTTCATTAGTAACTGGTAGGGTTAAAATGTGCTGGTTAACCGGTTAACTGGTGACATCCCTTCCCCAGTAGTACATTGGTCCCATATCTCATCCAGGAGGAAGGAATCTGGATAACTTCTGTAAAGGTTTAGAGGAGGTGTCACCATAGGCACCAACTCTGTGGGTGCTCCAGGCTGGTGCACCAATGGGGAAAAAATAGTGGGTACTCAGCACCCACCAACTGCTAAACTCCTTCTCTGTCCCTCTCCCCTCAGTGCTTCCTGCCCACTGGCGCTTCGCTGACCTACTCCTCCCCCTTCCTCCTTGCAGCTGTTCTGAGGCCTTCAGGGGCTCCAGGGGGGAGGGGTAAGAGTAAGAACATGGTGCTCTTCGGGTAGGGGATAGAAAGAATCATAGAATCATAGAATAATAGCACTGGAAGGGACCTCGAGAGGTCATCGAGTCCAGCCCCCTGCCCTCAAGGCAGGACCAAGCTCCGTCTACACCATCCCTGACAGATGTCTATCTAACCTGTTCTTAAATATTTCCAGAGAGGGAGATTCCACCACCTCCCTTGGAAATTTATTCCAATATTTGACCACCCTGACAGTTAGGAATTTTTTCCTAATGTCCAATCTAAACCTCCCCTGCTGCACTTTAAGCCCATTACTCCTTGTCCTGTCCTCAGAAACCAAGAGGAACAAATTTTCTCCTTCCTCCTTGTGACACCCTTTTAGATATTGGAAAACCGCTATCATGTCCCCCCTTAATCTTCTTTTTTCCAAACTAAACAAGCCCAGTTCATGAAGCCTGGCTTCATAGGTCATGTTCTCTAGACCTTTAATCATTCTTGTCGCTCTTCTCTGTACCCTTTCCAATTTCTCCACATCTTTCTTGAAATGTGGCGCCCAGAACTGGACACAGTACTCCAGCTGAGGCCTAACTAGTGCAGAGTAGAGCGGCAGAATGACTTCACGAGTTTTGCTTACAACACACCTGTTGATACAACCTAGAATCACATTTGCTTTTTTTGCAACAGCATCACACTGTTGACTCATATTCAACTTGTGGTCCACTATGACCCCTAGATCCCTTTCCGCCATGCTCTTTCCTAGACAGTCGCTTCCCATCTTGTATGTATGGAACTGATTGTTCCTTCCTAAGTGGAGCACTTTGCATTTCTCTTTATTAAACCTCATCCTGTTTACCACTGACCATTTCTCTAACTTGCTAAGGTCATTTTGAATTATGTCCCTATCCTCCAAAGAAGTTGCAACCCCACCCAGTTTGGTATCATCTGCAAACTTAATAAGCGTACTTTCTATTCCAATATCTACATCATTGATGAAGATATTAAACAGTACGGGTCCCAAAACAGACCCTTGCGGAAGCAGGGTGGGAGTGGAGTCTTGGGGAAAGGGGTGGAGTGGGAGTGGGACAGGGGCATGATGACATAGGGTGTGGTTGGGAGTTTGGGAGAAGGGGTGCCATAGGGGTGGAGGGATGGGTCAAGCAATCCCCTCCCCCTGTTAGAGCAGAAATTGGTGTCTATGGGTGTCGCTACTCCCCTGCCCTACACAGAGATTTCACTCCATCCCTGGAGGCCTTTACTTACAGCATTGGGCCTCCCAGTTAGCAGCATGCCCAATGTGTGTGCACTTAAGACTGAGCTTTATGTGAGTGATCAGGACTTGTATCCAGCACAGAAAATATGTAGGGCCTTCGCCTTCCCACAAGTTGTTGAAAAGGAAGTTAGTTGGTGGGGTTTATATTAAAGATGTTAAGGACTAGCTGACTAGTTGATAGTATCAGATAGAGGCAGCAAAGGGGGTGGAAGAAGGGGTACTTCAAAGTGTTAGCACTGCACAGCTAAGCCAGGGATCAGCTGCTTTGAAACCCCAAGGCGGCATT